TGGGTTGTGTCTGAGAGCACATACAGGGATGCAGTGGAAAGCAGGGTGCAATGGGCAGCAGGGGGTAAGGCCATGCTTCAGGAGACCCCAGACACCCTGCAAGCCCTCAGGCCCCTTGGAAGAATGGAGTGCATACTGGTGTGGGGTGCTTGCTTAAAAAGAATTCTGTCCCCTAAAGTATTTGCCCCCAATTTTCTCTTTCATGATCTTTCCTGTGTCAATCCTTCAGCTCCAGTAAATTTGGTGGCAGCTCCCTGACATATAGAGGGGTTCCTTGTGCCAGATGGCAGAAGCTCCTAGGGGTATTTTTGGTCTGCTGCCCTACCCATTCCTGCTAGTCATATTCCCCAGCAGCTGCAGTGTTTCAGGAGTTGTTGCATGCTGTGAGACCCCTCCCAAATGCCATCCTGGTGGGGAGGAGGCAACAGCCAAAACCTGGGGAGAAGGACTAGGGCTCAGGCAGGGCTTCTTTCTGTACTCACAATGCTGTTTTGTCTGCTGAACTGTGTCGTGCACAAATCGGATCATATTGCGCAGAACGATTTTGTACTGGGACATTATCTTTTCCCCGTCGCCTTCAGCTGCAGCCTGGCTGACCCAGGGCCAGTGGAAATGGATGCTCCAATTGGCTGGATCCAGTGTTAAGATGGCTATGTCTCCTACGAGTGCCACACATGACACCTCAGCAGAGCTGATGTTGGCAACGAGGCTACTCAGGAGGTACTGGATAACCTGTGGCTCTGCTAGGAGAGAGAATGGAGACAGGAAAGGGTGCAGGAAGGAGATGAATGGAGGTGCTAAAGGGGAAACATGAAGTGGAGGTGCTGGAGCGGGAGGGGAACAGGGGATTCAGATTAGATAATAAGAAAGAATGTTTTTAAGTGAGGGGTAGTGAGGAACTGGTACGTGTTACCCAGACATATTGTGGATGTCCCATCCCTGGCAACATTCAAGGCCAGGTTGTTTGGGACTCTGAGCAGGGAAGGTGTCCCTGTCCATGGCAGGGGGGTTGGACTAAATGGCCTTTAAAGGTCCTTTTCAAACTGCAAATCATTCTGCGCTTGTATGATTCTATGCTCTTCATCCTGCTCAGGGTTGTTTTCCTGTCCAAACTTCCCCTGACTTCACTGCTCTTTTTCCTTCTCTATCTTACTTTCAGCAAAGTGGCTGTCTCCTGCAGAGGATTTTAGGCATTTTGTTCCCTCCCTTCCATGCCTTCCTCCTGGCAACAGCTGCTGTCTGACTGCGCAGAGCAGATGAAGGGGCACCTTGCTGCTTGTTTGAGGTGATGTTTCACCCCAGGAGAAACACCTGTGCCAGGACTTTGTATCTGCCAAAGATCTGGACATGGTACAGAGGCTATGGAGGACGCTTGATAGAAAAGGGCATTTTGTCCAGGTTTGGGGCTCCCTGACAGGGCCAGGTCACCAGCCCAGCCCAGAGATCAGTCCTGACTTTCTGTGTCTGATGCTACCTGCCCCAGAAGCATAAGGTCTCATGGGGTTGTAAAACTCTCTGTGTGACAGCAGTGCCCAAAAAACCCTGTGGCAGGTGCAGCTCCCTAATGAACGAGAGGCTGCTGGAAGAGGCCCTCAGCACCATGTGGAGCTGAGATCTGCCTGGCATCCATAGGCTCCCTGCAGGGGGAGGACATCTTGCAGGGTAACTCAACACCCAAGGCCTGGCTGAGGACCACTGTTGTCTCTTCTGCTTGTGTGCCCAAGGCCCTGTGTTGGAGCTGGTGAGGCAGAAGTCCTGAGCTGGAGGCAGGAACAGAGAGGGTGGGCAGGGACAAAGCATGTTTAAGTGATGCACGGTGGGAGGTGGCCCTCTGGTTCTGGGAATCATCCACCCCCCTATATGGCACAGTGGCCTGGCCATGCCTCCCCTGAGCAGAACTTGTGGGGTTCTCTGACAGGGCAGGGGTGGTAAGAGCAGTTGAGGTGAGCCAGGACTCCCACTTACCCTCTGGGTCTGCCCACATCCCAGGGAGGAGGATTGCGAGAAAGAGGAAGAGGAGGAGGCGAGGAGGCTGCATGGTGCATGCGGCAAGGCTGAAGAAGCAGCAGCAGTGACCGTGGGAACAGGAAGAACCTGTGGGAACCTAAGCTTCAACCCAGCCCAGCAGTCACTGCGGTGCCTCTCCACCAATTGGAGAATCAGTGTGTCAAGGGAGGGGCCCAGAGGTCTCAAGCTGAAGGCTGGGGACATGTGGGAGGGACAAAAGCTGAAATAAGGTCTTGAGCACAAAGTGCCCTGACAGTCTGGGGCTGGAAAAAGCCCAGCCAGAAGGAGAAGGCAGGGAAAGAGACCCAGGAGACAGAACTAGGAAAATAGATATTCCAGCATCTAGGCTGGGTTTTCCTGACTCCCCCTCCCCATCTATTGTACTATCCATGTTCTTGTGGGATGCATCAGCACCAATGCAGGTGACAATGGCATTTGGATTTCAGACCTGACTGGAGAAGGACAGTTGCTGTCTTCTCAACCCCTACACAGGAAGAAGGGATACCTCCTCCTGCTCCTGTCACCTCCATCCTCAAGCTCAAGTTGCTCCTGCATCATTTGCCTAATTCTGAAGATGGGGCTCCTAGGGAGGAGGCAACAAGTCGTTCCATCTAGACCAAAGGTGTAGGACACAGCTGGGGAGCCCCAACTCAGCTCTAAACACCTGGGGATGGGCCTCACAACTCCCCTTTCCTTCCCACCAGCTTTGATGAGGAATCTGGTCCCCCTCCCCAAGAGCCCCCTGTGCATGGGAATAGAAATGGTGGGAGCCATTCCCCTGCTCTGTCCCCACTGGCACCAGTGTCCAATGCTGGAGGGATCATGGGGTGCCCAGAGTCAACCTCTCCCCACAATGTTCCAAACTGACTGCTCCTCCCCAGCTCCTCCCCTCAACATGTAGTTTCTCTTCCCCTTTTCTGGGTAGTGCCTGCACTGGGGGCAAAGGCAGAACCAAAACCACATACAAGAGCAAGTTTGAGGGTTGCACCTCCGTAGTGTCCAAATACGGAATAATTTTGTTTCCATGGAGCTGTCCCAGAGAGAAGTAGGGATGCTGTGGTGGCCTGGTAGGCCCAGAAATGACACCAACTTCCCCAGCAGCATGACGCAGGGGATGTCCAGCTATGCCACCGCAAGGTCCACATCCCTCCCACTAGTCCTAGACCCAGAGGAGACTGGCTGTCAGGATGGCAAAGCGCAGCCGTGGGGCAGCCAGGGAGGGAAGAGACAAGGGGGCTTTTGTCTCTGCAGTCCTGTGAGGTGATCACTTGTCCCCATGGTCTCCCCTGAGATGACTGCTGGTCACTTCTGCTGAGCAGCTGAGAGGCCATTCGCAGCCCTCTGTCCTTTGCAGCCCTCTGTCCTGTGAGTTGTCTGAGTTGCTCATAGGACAGGAGCAGGCCCCTGGCTTGTGTGGGTGGTCACAATGTGTTCAGCCGCCTTGAAAATTCCTCCAGATGTCTGTCTTGGTGGATCTGCTTTGAAGTTCTGCTTTAGCTCTTCCACTTCTCTATTGAATGTACTTCTCATGTTTGGAGTTTTTTCACTTCCTTTTTTGCTCACAGCTTTTTCTCCTTCATATTGTCACTTCTCTGGTCTGAAAATGACTCAAGGAGACAGGGGGCTGTTGGTCCACACAGACCATTGGTCCTCAGAGTCACCCCCAGGTTACCACTTGTCTCCACAGTTTCTTCAGGTGACATTGGTCCTTACAGTCTTCTGAAGTGATTACTGGTCCTCACTTCTCCCCTGCCCTAGAGCACTATTGGACTTTGAAGTTCTCATGTGGCCACTGGTTCTCAAAGACCCCACAGGTGACATTGGTCCTTGCAATCTCCTCCTGAGGTGAAGTCTGTAACCCCCCAAGATGTGCCTGGGGGAGTTGGAGTGGAGTGGACAGGGATGCAGTGCCTCTGGGTGCCATACTGGATGGGTGGGTGAGCAGCAGCAACCGCTGCACTGAGCTGTGATGAGATGCCTTAAGAGCCTTCTAAAAATGCCTGGCTGGGCTGTGTTATTGCAAGGTCTCTTAGGGGATGTAAGCAAACACTTGCAGACACCCCCCTGGTACCAGGTGTTTGTTGGTGTGGTACTGTAGGGTCTCTTGGGAGGTCATTCACATGAACAGCTTTCCTCGACAGGTTTCCTCACTGGCTGCACCTGATCTCCAGGTCTGCCTGGTACCATGAGTGCTGCAGGATGTTCCACTCTGCCTGGGAGAGGAACTGCCCTGTGGGTGCCAAGGCTGCAGGAAGGCATGCCCACCTAAGCGTTTCACCTGCCTGTCCCAAGTCAGCAGGGGCTGGGAGAGGCTTGGTGTCACTCCTCTTGTGATGAGGTCCTTGAGCCGTGTGATGGCAGCAGGAGACGCTGGCTGCTAGGGAAACGCAGTCCTTACCCAGCTTTGTGGTTTCCAGGTTCTGGCCAGGGGAGAACAAACACCATTGGATTTGTGGAGGATATGGCTGTAAGGCAGCCAGGTTTTCTGGCTTGCCATGGCTGCCGGACTTATCCTGGGAAACTGCAAGAAGTCATCCAGTGAAACCAAACCTTTTGAAGCTACATGTTCAAATTGATTTGGAGCATGAACTACACTACTTTGTGTGTGTCTTCCTCTGCTGTCTTTCATGGGACATGGGCTTCTTTTTTCTCCTTTATTGGGAACCTTGGGGTCACTTCACCCCCGTGTGCACAGTTGCTTATTTCCATGCAGTACGTGAGAACACGTTCATATATGCACAGGCACACATGTACTGTTTTTCCCCCATTTCCACCATTGCCTTGGTGCTTCCTGCAGTTAGTGCCAATAATTCAGTGGTGTTTTAACTTGCATACACGGCTGATCAAAACCTCTCCAAGCCCATACAACTGCTAAGGAAAGGCACATTATCTTAGTGAAAATATGAATGGTTTATTTTCATTTCATACACATATGCAGCTCCCACACATTACACCAGAGTTTCAGTGTTACTCAGCACTTTTTAAACCCATTTCTGGCCAGGTTCTGTTAGTTTGTGTGGAACAGTTCATTCTCAGCACAAATATTTCTGGAATATGGTTAGTAATTTTTAGGAAAAAAAAACCCCACAAAAACAACCAGAAAGTGACAGTAGAAGGGGACAGCTTTCCACCTTCTGAAAAAAGCATTACTGAAGCAGAACCAGGAGAATTTGCCACTGGGTATTGAGGTGCCCTACAGCATTAGTGGGTGGACTGGCCAGTGCCACAAGCTAAGAGATGATCATGTGTAACAAGTGAGAAGGTCGTAGATGTGCACTTGCATTTGTTTAGAAGATTCAGGTTAGTCAAAAGTTCAGATTTCTCTCACCAGGTTTCTTTTGTGTATCTCTGAACCGAGTTAGTCTTGCAATTGGCAATGCCCAGAACTTAGGTGAAGCAGAAAAAGGTAGTTCTCGTTACTGTGTAGGCAGTGGGAGGGAATGGGGACTATTTGCTCTCTTCTGAGCTAGGCTTCTTTGCTCAGGATGGAGTTCCTGGACTCTGATTCCTCCATCTGCTGGTGCTTTCTGAAATGAGAGGGGGATAGCTGGATGCTCCATGGCAGAGACCTTGCAGGAGTGCAGACAGCATCTGCCAGGGCCCAAGCAAGAGCTTTGCTACTCAGTGCAGAAATCCCCGTGGCATTTCTTTCCCTCCTCTCTCACTGTCGGTCCACGGCGCAGACAGGGACTGACCTTTGTCTCCACACCCAAAGCACCGACACGGCAGCTACGACCATGGCTGCAAGCAGCCCGGCCACGAGCCCTGTGATCAGCACCACTTCTGAGTTCCCTGGGAAACATAAGGAGAAGCTGCCATGAACATTCTGGGGTTTGCTCCATCTGGTCGGGGAGGGTGGTGCAGGACCCCCATCTCATCCCCCATGGGTGGCACCTACCCCATGGGATGAGAAGGCTGCGGGTGCCCAGGCTGTGGTGGCGCACACGGCAGACATAGCTGTGCCCATCACGGGGGGCCACGGCCAGGATGCTGCGGAGCTGGTAGGTAAGGTCAGCGTTGGGCAGGATGGTGCTGGTGTTGAGCGCTGGGCCCGGAGGCACCTCCTGGCCATCCCGCAGCCAGGCCACGCTGATGGGACGGGGATAGAAGCCAGTGACATGGCAAACAAGCAGCAGCTGGTCTAGGCTGGGGGTGCGGGCAAAGACCGTGGCCACAGGCAGCTCTGGGGAATGAGAGCAAAGGGGTGGGGCAAGCCTTGGTGGGCACGGCTGGGCCCCGGTGTGGGGGCTTTTGGGGTGGCTGTTGCAGGGTCAGGGTGGTCTCACCTTGTCTCTCCAGAGCTGCCCTCCCAAAGTGCAGGAGCACCTCCAAGTCATCGACACAAGTATCATTGAAGAGAGCTTCCACCAGCTCACCCAGTGCAGTGTAGTTCTGGAGAAATGACTGGACAGACTGTGACAACTCGGTGTCCTGGGAGAGGGTCCAGGTTAAATTCTTTGTGTCGAAGCTGAGGAAATCCTGGCCATTGTAACCCACATAGCCAAAGGCCCGGGAGGTTTTGTTGGGGTACAGCATGCAGCCTGCTGTGCACTGAACAACAAAGGGGTCTGGCAGGGCAAAGACGAGAGAGAGGTTGTGTGAGGGGCTGGGATTGCTTCCTGCAGACATAGTCAGTGTCTCCTATACAGCACCAGCACTATCAGATCCTTCCCCATTTCCCAGCTGCTTTTCAAGAAAGGGGATGCAGTGAAGACTGAGTACTCACATGGGATGTCCCTTTGCATGGCCCCTTCATTGATTAGATAGTTGAACTTGTGCCAATAGATCTTAAGCAGGTTTTCAATGGTGTCCCAGTCAGCATGGGGCAGGGCTGGGCGCACCCAGGGCTGGCAGAAGCGGATGGACCATGTGTGTTTATCAAGAAAACCCAGTTCGATGTCTTCCAGCAGGCCCAGCCCCTCCACGTCTGCAAACGAGGTGTTTTGGAAGGTGGTGGTCTGGAGCAGCCGGATAGTGAAGGTCCCTACATGAGAGAAGGGTTGACAGGGAGGAGATGGGACTGGGAGAAGAGGGCTGAGGAAAGTGGAGGAGCTGAGGGATGGTTCCTTGAGGTTGCAGGGATCCGTGGGTTCCCCATAAGCCCCTTACAGTGTTTGCAGCCCCAGTTCCCATTTCCTGCACCCACCTGGGGTGGCTGCATCCCTGCTGGGGAGGAGGTGTGGAGCCAGGGGACAAGGAGGAGTAAGGAAGCAAGTGCCCAAGATGGGTGGGAAGCAGGAAGCCTCTCCTCTATGGAGTCCCATGGAGGTAGATGTGTATGAGCCAGGGGTCCCACTTACCATCTAGATTTGCCCATGTCCCAGAGAGGAGGAAGAGGTAGAGGAGGAGGGAGAGAAGGCAGCAGCAAGGGGACTGCATGGTTCCAGCAGTGAGGCCCAGAGTGTGCAGCAGCTGGTGCAGCAGCAGGAAGAACAGACTGTTGAGAGATGTGGCCTCAGAGGTCTCCTCAGGCTGGCTCTGCCTGCGCAGCTCTGCTGGTGCTAATGGCCCTGGCAGCCAGTGGGGCTGGCACTGAGGTTTAGGGGAGGGCTCTGAGGTTCCCACTTGGAGTGAGCTGGGGCATCCTGAGTACGGCTGTGAGTGCTGGGGGAATTTGATTGTGAGCAAGGTTGTTCCACTGCATGCAGGAGCAGTCCCTCATGGCTGCAGCAGCACCTTGACAATTGTGGTGATGTGGCTGAGCTGAGTCCTCTGTTCTACCCCCCTTTCAGGTCAGCATGTTTCTTGGCCATGTGCTGCACCCATTGCCCTGATAGGAATATCCCTTACTTGTGTGTGGCATATCTGGCCCTGTGTGGCCTCAGCTCTCTTCACAGAGAGCAGCAGGCACAATCTTTCTCAAGGATTTTTCCTGGGAAGGCAGTGAGAAGCACAGAGAGAAGAAGAGAAAAAAAATTCTTATCTCTATTCTTTGCTCTTGTTGTTTCTGTACATGTGGAATGTGTTATGGAGATTGTTTACCTGAAGGGATTTGGTAATTAGATTCTAGTGATAGTTGTTTATATTAATTAACTAATCACTCGAAACTGTGTCCTGACTGTCTGGACAGAGTCAAGAGTTTTTCTTTAGTATCTTTTTAATATATCTTTAATATAGTACAGTATAATGTAATATAATATAGTTTTAATAAAGCAATTGTTCAGCATTCTGAATCAATAGAGTCAGATGCCAATCATTCCCTGTGTTGGGGGCTCCCTGCATTCGATAGCCCTGCATAGAGCAGACATTGCCACCTGCTCTGCACTGCCAGGTGGGTTCACAACAACATGGCTGTTTTTCCCACAGGGCAGGCAAGCCCTATTCCAACCACAGGGCCTCGTGCCTGGGCTCTCTGTGCCCCAAGGCTGTGTACTGGTCCCATGCCTCTTTGTCACCTCCCAGCCATCCTACAGCCAGGCCACTCTGATGGGCCACAGGTATGTAAGCCAGTGATGTGGCAAACCTGCAGAAGAGCTGGGCCATAGCCTTGGAAAGCTCTGAGGGGTAAGAGAGTGAAGGAGAAAAGTTGATGGTAATATCCCTTGACCCCTCAGTGCTGCTGTTCTCATCCTGGAGAAGGGACTTCCCAGAGTTGAGGTGACAAGCACTTCCAGCCTGGACCACAGCTGTGGGGTCAGGAATGGCTGAGGAAGCAGTTCTCCAGGAGCTCTTCTTGGGGTGCAAGAAGTGAAGGGACTAGAGCAGCTATAGTGTGGTGGTCCCCAAGGGGAGAGATAGGCTGCAGGGCCTGGAAAGGACTGTTTCCCACTAACAGTCATCAGACTCCTAGAGCAGTGGCAGTTGGCTGGACAGGATCTTCAAGGTTGGATGGGACCCCACCATCAAGCCCATTCCAGGGAGTTGCAGTAGATATGCAGCTTCCCCCTTTCCACAGAGCTCTGTCCAATGCCATGGAGCCTGGGAGCTGTCTCTCTGCTTCCCTGTACCCCACAGTGTAGGGGAGTCTGAAGTCTGCCATAAACAGCCCGACAGGGGAGGGTCTGAGGATCGGCTGCAACTCCCCTTTCCTTCCCACCAGCTTTGGTGAGGAATCCTGTCCCGCTCCCTAAGAGCCCCAGAAACAAAATGTGCACGGAAACAAAAATGGTGGGAGCCATCCCCATGCTCTGTCCAAATTGGCAGCAGTGTCCAGTGCTGGAGGAACAATGTGGTGACCAGAGCCAGCCCCACCTCACAATCCCATATCCTCTGCTCCTCCCTCACCTGCAGTTTCTCTCCCCCTTTCCTAGGGGTGCCCATGTTGACGGTGAAGGCAGAGCTGAAACCACAGCCGAGGGGAAGTCTGAGGTGGAGTGCCCTGATAACAACCAAACACAGCAGAGGAATTCATGTTGGTATGTGAGCCTTCCAAGCACAACTGGGACCAAGTGTCACTGCTCCATGTCACCATTTTTGATGTCTCCACCACTAGGGACATGGAGAAGGCCCACACGGGGCTGCTGCAGGATGAGCTCCAGCATCCCATGACACTGAGTCAGATGTGGGGACAAAAGGACACCAAACCCCTTCCCTTCCATGGAGCTGTCCCAGAGAGAAGTAGGGATGCTGTGGTGGCCTGGTAGGCCCAGAAATGACACCAACTTCCCCAGCAGCATGACGCAGGGGATGTCCAGCTATGCCACCGCAAGGTCCACATCCCTCCCTCTAGTTCTAGACTCAGAGGAGACTGTTTGGCTGTCAGGATGGCAAAGTGCAGCCATGGGGCAGTCAGGGAGGGAAGAGACAAGGGGGCTTTTGTCTCTGCAGTCCTGTGAGGTGATCACTTGTCCCCATGGTCTCCCCTGAGATGACTGCTGGTCACTTCTTGCTGAGCAGCTGAGAGGCCATTCACAGCCCTCTGTCCTGTGCAGGTGCACGTGACAAAACTCAAATAACGTGCAGCCCCCTGTAGGTCAAGATGAGGTCCAGTGTACACAATCCACTTATATCTACTCATATTTAATTTCTCCTTACTGGTGGAAATAACCACTAGATACAAAATTGCTAAATCCCACAAACTCCACAGAAACAAAGACAAACAGAAAACAGAGGGGTACTCCCGCCTTTCAAGATGGCATCTGCCACAGGCAAGCATGAATAGGGAGACAAAGGAAAAATACAGTCTGCCTTCCTCCCTACTTATCTCTCCATCAGCAAAGGTGGTTGGCGCATTCAAGCAGGTGATACTCAGCAAACAGCTAGAACTCATGGAGAGACTTTGCCTTCATTGTGGCAGACGACAGCAAGGCAAAGCAGCTGGGCTGGGGTGACTTGGTGCCTTTGCCTCAGCTGGCCACTGCTGGCAAGCTATGGGCAACTCAGACTGGAGCAGGGCCACAGTTTTCCTTCTGGAACAGGGCTGCTGACAGGCACTTCTGGAATTTGCCTTGAGGCAGGCCAAGATGCAATAGGGGAACAAAAGGGAGGGGGGAAAAGAAAACTGGCACAAAACCCCCAAAGATTCTGCCCTGAACAAAGATAACAAGGCAAGAGGGATCTGCCTGAGAGACCCCTGACTTTGAAAAGGAACCCCAGCAACCCCTGTCCCTTGTGTGTCAACTTCCATCCATGGCACTGGATCTTAAAGAGACAATAACAAGTTTGGGCACAGATAGATATGGACTACAATAACACCTTGGGTTACCCAGGACTCATGCTTATTTGAAGTGGGCCAGTCTTCCTTCCTGCCTTTCAAAGGCTCAGCTTTCCTTCAGACTTCTCTCCTCCTGCCCATTACAGCTTCAAGTCACACTCAGTGCCACTAGCCAAGTGCAGGGTACAGGCTCTGTGTACAGTGGGGCTCTTGCTTTGCCAGTGCTCCCACCTGGCTTCTCTGCAGACTGCAGTCCCTTCAGGGGTGGGAGGGGGTGGCCTTGGCTGGCAGGTGACCCCCCATCCTGCTGCCCACTCCCACTCCTTCAGGGGGACAGGAGAGAGAGTCACAAAGGCAAATGTGAGAAAACACTCATGGGTCAAGACACAGACGGTTTAACAAGGAAAAGAAACTCTCTCAGGAAACACTTCCTCATATCACACTATGGCCAAGGGTGGCAGAAAACTCTGGAGGCCATTGGGCCCAAGCCATTGCCAGAGCAGAGTCACCTATAGCCAGCTGCCCAGCTCAGAGGGTCGTTCAAGAATGACAGATCATTTAAAAAGCATACATGGAAACAAAAAGCTGCCTGAGCGTGGCCTTGGCATGTCTGAAATCTTCAATTCCAACCTCATCCCATTACATATTGAATGCATAAATAATTATCCAAGCTGTAGTGTAGTGGCAATATCTAATGCAAAATGTTTCATTTTGACCTTTGTAAAGCTGTGAAGCATAGTACTGAAGTCCATCTAATACTAGAAACCTCTGCTGCTTCTTTGAGGGAAAGAGTATCTTCTACATGGGTAAGTCTGACTAAAATAACACACAGTTCCAAACTGATGCTTGTTTTATTAGAATACCACATAATGTGAAACTCACAATTTATGACACTTAAGCATCAAAATCTTAAAGTTTCTTGCTCTATTCCAAAACCTCTAAGATGTGAAGAAAAACCCCATATGTTGTTCTAACCCAACATCTTCAGAATGTTACTTTGAAAACATTAGCAAAGTAGAATTTAATTTAAAGCATTTAATAGCTGAGACAAGCAATGTGAAAAGCTGAATTACAGAAGAAACACTACAACCCAACAGTCATACTACAAATCTACCTTTCCTCAACAATTAGTACTTCCAGGTCAGTTTTTTCCACCAAAAAGATGTTGTAGTGGCGAAAAGATGATGCTGGGGAAACAGTAACAACAAGAAGAGCACATTAGACTTAAAATACTTCTCTGAATATTGGGAAAAAAAGCTAATTTCTGTCCAACAGAAGGACACAATGCCAGTAAACAACAAAACAAAACAACAAAACAGAGGGAAACTGAAAAAAATAGAGGAAACAATGAATAACTTGTGCAGTAATGGTCTGGTCTCAGTCATTAAAGGAACAGCACACATGACAATTAACAAGGAGTTTTATTTAAAAAAAAAAACAACCCAAAACCAAAAACCAGCAGCTGCCAATATCCACCTGGTTCTGTGCAGTGATGGATGGCACTCACAGGATCCAGCCTCGGCAGCATGAGAGAACTCCTTTGGCCAGCCAGCAGGTGTCTGAACAGTGACACTGATTTCCATTTTAAATAGTGCCTTTGGGAGTCTAAGTCCAGATTTGCTCAATGGCCAAATAAAGGTCACATGCAGCTTCATGGGGCTGAAGATCCATCTGGGAAGACCCTTTTAGCTGGCATTTCTCAGCTGAGAAAAGCCAAATTGTATAAGGGCTGTGATGGAGGTTCAGTGACTCTCTCTCATCAGGAGTTTTTCCCAAAGACAGCTCTGAAGAGAAACATTCAGTGGTAACGCTGCCCCTTAGCATGAGATAAAATGACATCCCTTTTTTTTTGTCTTGGGAGACTTTGGTTTAACCACAGAAAAGATGTCTCCATCCTTCAAAATTATGGAGAACAACCTGGCACTGCCAGAATCAGCCTTTGACACAGGCTTGGACAGAGCCAGGACTACCTCTGCTCATCAGTGTAGGATTAGTACCTTCTCCAGAACTGTGAGAGACCTCTTCCTTCTGACTTCATGTTTCCTTTTTTCCCTGTTTGGTCCATTTGCTGCAGCAGCTGCACTGCACTCTTGGCCTCACTGGCTACTCTTTTTTGTTCATGGCCAAATTCCACAGGCCCCCCTGTAAGAAACAGCAGCAAGAACAAAACCACAACCTCGCTCTCTACACACTCCCTGCACATCCAGGGGAATGAAACTCAGTGGAAACCAGGAATTCCTTACTCACAGAAACTCAGTTGGTCACAGTCTTTAGTAAGGGATGCTGGGCTGAACTCAAGCTCATTTGCTTTGGAGGAATTCTAAAAGGAAAAGGAACCCAAGAACTGTTACATAATGCTAAACTCTATTGTACAGAGATTTTTGTTAGCTTGCTTCCTAAAAGTATTAAAAAGCAAGGTCTACACTCTTTGTTGTGTAGTTTCATTTGGGGATTTTTTTTCTGTTACAATGAGGACTTTCTTCACCAAGGTATTTTTACACCTCCTTCATCAGGACATAACATAAAGCTGTAATTTATTTAGAAGATTTAAGCATACCAGATAGTGAAGTAATAGTAGCTATGGAATAGGCAGAGATTTCAAAAAACATGAACAGAAGAACTGTGGGAAATGACAGTCCCTGGACAGTGCAGCCCCTGGACATTCATCCTTCTAAGACGTAGTCCTGGGACACAGACTTAATTTGGAAGGGACAAAAATGAAAAATTCCAGAAGCAAGAGGTGGGCCAGGAATACCCATTAGGAAGGTGATCAATACCCATTAGGAAGGTGATCAACAAAGTACCACACAAAACAAAATAAGCATATAGAAACACAGCAAAATCAGCAGGTAAGCTTCTAAAAGAGAGTAAACCCTAAAACAATGACAGGTCCTAATGGTGTTTCCCTTGCACTAATCTCAGAACCATTTAGGTTGGAAAAGCCCTGTAAGACTGAGTCCAGCTGCTAACTGGGCACTGCCAAGGCCATCACTAAACCATACCCTCAAACGCCACATCTAAGCTCAGGTTAATTCCAAACAAAATTCCAAACCTCTCATGGCCTGAGATCTTTGCAGTTTAGTCTGAGAGCATTAACTAAGTTAGGAAAATTCTCTGGAGCGACAGGCTGAGTCTCTTTCTTTCTTTTGACTCTCACTGGTGCACTGTGTAAGTGAAAAGAGTGCAGGTTTAACCACATTCATCCTGACCAGATGTCACCATCACAGGCCTGGGAGACATTTGGACGACAGCTGAAAATGCAATCCATTGAACAGTCATGTGCCTGTGGCACTTCTTTGCTCCTCATTCTGAATCCAACATCCCTAAGTCAATCCCACATGTACTACGTAGACAGATTTCCTTCCTGTTTAATGAAACCCTTCCCATTTGAGAAGCATTATAAAATACCAGGTGGATTTGAAACCAAAGCCATACACTGTTGTTAAACTGAGAAAGAGCCTTGGAAGAACAACCAGAAAAACTCGAATAAAAAACAGGATCTACTGACATATTTTTATCCTAAACCTAATCTTTCTTCTCATCCTGAATTAAAAGAAAAAAACCAAACAAAACCCAAGTGGAAAGCATGTCACAGAAATATTTGGTTTTCGTCTCTAAAAATGCATATTAGGACTTAATAAGAGGACTTCTGCCCATGATTTCACACAGTACTTGTGACACCTGATCTGGTGTTCATCAACTGAACAGTCTGTGTCCAGACAACCCTCTCAGTTTAACAGTGCCTTAACTAATGCAATTTCGAGGACAAGTCATGATGTCACAAGCAGCTGTTCCAGAGAAGGTTCTTCTCACCTGAGTTGGTATTTGCTGAGTTATTTTTGCATCACAGTTACAGATTACCTGGAAAGTGCTCAAGACATGCCCTCCCACATTAGTTAACACAAGAAGAACTTAGAGTAACCTCTGCCACATGTCATACTGTTTCTCAGGGTCCAAGCTGCTAACCTGGAGCTCCAGCATTCAAGGACTCTAATGTCTTGAAAACTGTACAAACAACAGAGGAATTCTGGAGACATTGATTATAGCAAAGTGGAGAATAAAAAAGCATCTTTTAGAAAATTATCCTTATCTCACCAACAGTGTTTGGAGTACCTGAGGAAAGAAGCCAGAGAGGGCATGTGTAGAGACCTGTCACTTATACTGCAAAGATGAGCAGAGGGGGAAAAAAATGGATACAAGTTTTAGAGACAAATAAAGCTGCTTGTTTTAGGTAAGTTATTCTTTACTGAATGCTCCCAAGGAGTTACTAGGCAGTCTTCTTCCTATCCTGCAAATCCAACAAACCTGTCAAAAAACCCTCTTCTGAAAGAATGTTTTGGGCTTCCTTTGTGAGCAAACCCAAGAGAAATGTGTTTGCCTCCTTGAAAAAAACTCTCTTCCAAAAGGTTAGAGAGGGGGAAAAAGCCAGGAAGGTGATAGTGTGGTAGGGATTTGAATTAAATTTAGAATGGGTATCTAGAAAATATATGAAGTGCATTTGGGAGGATGTGCAACATCCGGGAGAACACAGGCGTTAGGGTGTGACTAAGAGCAGTTCTATCTGAGCAGGCTTGGAGCCTGTGGGCTAGAAGAAAAAGAATCTTCTCCTCCTAACAAGGTCTTTGGAGAACAGAGAGCAACGGCCAATCCCTCTGGAACAATCCTGTCATGAATTTGCCTTCTGGTGGCATAGTGAGAAAAGGCATGGCACTGTTTCAGGAACAGGGTGATGCCTGCACGGCCATCAGCAGAGAGAGGGACACTGGTGGGAAGTGGCACATGGTCACAACAAAACCAGTGACAAGATGCCAGCACTCACTGTTGGCCCTTTGTGGAGTTCTCCATAAAGGGGCATGTGAGATGACAGAGGACTGGAGTCCTGGAGAAAAGGCAGGGCATCCCTCAGCCTCACCTCTCAGAGGCTGAGCTTACCCCCGAGCTTGTAGCTTGACAATCAGAAAAGTTTGTGTCATCTCGAAAAAATATAACTCATCCCTTTGCTAAATCTGGTCCCTTTGAGGAGTCAAAAATGATGAGGGTGATGCAGGGAAAAGGGGACAAATTACCTGCAGGCATTTTTATGCTTGCCACTATAAGGGTCCAGGACTAAATAGGTGCTGTTGTCTCTTCCTGAATATTGTGTAGCTTACCTTTTCAAATCCTTGCTCTGCTTTACTCATGTGGTGAACACAGTAAGCTCCAGTTCTAAAGAAAAGTAAGTAAAAACTGAGTTTACAAAAAGTCACAAAAAGGAAGCAGCCACTCCAACTACTTCACCAGAAACCAGGACTTTAGTAGGACTCTACTCAACAAGAATATACCCTTAATCTATATTTGTATTCATGTTTCAAAGTCCTCCTTAAAAATGAAAATAGGCACTCATTCTGCTTTTCTACAATGATAAACAAGCAGTTAAAGAGAAAAAGTGTTACATGAAAAGGGGGATGAGCAGATAGCTGAGAAAGTTTGTGAATCCTACAAGGTTACAAGGGCAGGTAGCAAAGAACCACAGACAGATCTTGCAAGACTTGGTCATGGAGCATTAAAATGCCAGAGGAAACTCCATATGGGGAGGTATGAAGGGATGTATGTGCAGGAAAACCATCTTGGCTTCACTTGAGGTGATCAGAATCACTGAATCACTGGGAGTGCCACTTGGTGATTCTGATTTCTCAACACTCAGTAGCACCCCAAGAAAACCCAAATCCCCCAAGATTTGGGTGCAAAGGAGCTTTTCCAGAAAGAAGACAAAGAGCTGGTCTCATTACAGCAGACACACTCCTTCCTGGGGCAGGGAAGATGCTCAGCCTGAATGAGCTCTTCAGTCTAACAGTGTAACTGGAAAAAAATGACAGAAGGCTTGAAGCTAGTGCTCGCCAATTTGATTTTGAATTCAAGCATACACTTAAGAATTACGGGTTGTTCTAACCATAGCTGCTGTGGCAAGAGAGAACTGCCAGACTGGATCATGAAATAGCCCTTTCTGACCTTGTATTTTATTAATCTACAACTTGTGTCTTTGCCTAAAAGAAATAAAAAAGCATTCTGAATCCTGGGCTCATTCCTCCCTCATAGCCAACAGTTGTACTGTGAGTAGAAACAGGCCAGGGGGATAGGGGTGGGATTAAAGGAGTACATTTGCATGAGCAGGAAAAGAACTGACTTCAGACTTTGTTAATATCTCTGCATGAAACACACTTGAGATTTGGGTAGGATATAAGGCACCAAGGTAGATGATTGGATATAGTCTGTACATGGGAGGGGAAAGGTGGGCATAAACACTTCTGATCACTGATGGATACAGGACTGTTTGCCACAAACTTGTGAGGATTCAGCATAGGTATAGATTTTCTTCTTTTAAAAAAATAAACTCAAAGAAGAAAGAAGCTTGCCAGCCTGTAAGTAACACTAGGTATCTGAGAGGTAGTCAAGAACTAAGCACAAGGTTAGCCAAGAGCCAGCCTTATACCCTCATGTGGAAGGGTGATTCAGCTGAGCTGAGTGATTCACCCTGAGCTGAATTAGGAAGAGCTCTGCCAAACCACTGCCCTCCAAGCAGTGATCTCTCCCCTCTGCTCAAGGCTTCTGAGGCCCCTCAGCCTCAGTATGGGCTGGAAATCCCAGTACCTGACTGGGACTCACAGCAAAGGGCCACGTGCAAATATGATGATGGGATTGGCAAACTTTTTTCAAGTGGAGAAGCTTTGAGAGATGAGGCTGTTTAGTCTGGAGAAAGCTTGGATGGGATCTTACCAATATACACCTGATGGGAGGAAATGGAGAACAGAGAGTCAGTTTCTCCTCAACCCTCTTGTCTTCTGCAGGACAAGAGGCAAAGGGCACAGATTGCAAAAGATGAAATTAAATTTGAATACAAGAAAAATCTTTTTGACTAGAACTGTGGTCATACACTGCAAGTGGCTCTCCACAGTTGTGGTGGTTCCACCCTCAGAGTCTACTCAAGACCTGAGAGAACTTGCTTTGGGTGACCCTGCTTGAGCAGGAGGGGTCTGAACTTGATGATATCAAAGGACCTGTCCAACCTCAACCATTCTGTAAAATTCAGAGACAGAGATCTACTTGGGAATCACCATGAGAAGTCTAGCTACCGAAGAAACATATGGCGAAGTTGTGTGAATACTCATGTATTCTCATGTGCAATTTCATGAAACTTTAAAGCATTTAGAAAAGAGCAAGTTCCAAGGCATCTTGCCATCAGCCTCAAGCCAAGAGGGCAGCATTTATCAGCATTTATCAGCTGGCTCAACGGAGCAGGCTGGGAGGCAGGTGGAAAACTGGTTCCAGTTCTTCCCTTGCTGTCCTGGACTCAGGTGTGCAAGCCAGTGCACTGTTCTGTCTGGCTGCTAAGCTATCACCTCACTGAGACTCAAAAGGTGCTGTGAACGCAGAGGATTTAGGCAGAGCTCTGGTCAATAGTATGGGAACTTGGAAAGTACAGGACCACTTTTTTCCCAATATGAGCAATGATGCTTAGATTCTGCTAGCCATGGAAGAAAAGGAAGAAGGAAAATGGGGTAAAGGATTGCACAGAAATGAAGCATGAAGAAGGTACAAGAGACATTAAAAATATTAGTATGTGTCCTGGGAGACTCTTTTGGAGTCAACTTACCCGTCCATACAGGACTGTGGGCATGAGGTATCATCTCTGACTTCCACTCTTCTCCTCTTCACTGCTTCTTTCATTGCAGTGCTTTCTGACATTTCATTTCTTCTCCTGACCTTCAAAGCATTGCAAATTTGGTATTGGTAACAATTGATTTTGACTTTTCTATTTTAGAACAAAATTCTTAGTTACATTCATATTTTGCAAAAATTGTTCCTGCTTATACTCTGAAAACAAAAAAAGGATTCAGGACTAAAACAAGCACTGGGAGGTCAGCCAGACAATTATGCTGAACAGTGTTAAACAAAGTATTTCTTTCTAGGACATCCTATTTCCTCCATTTTCAGAGGATTGCCAAGGAATGTAAATAGCAGGATTGCAGAGACAGAAAAAATTCCTTAGGGGAATTTGGACACTTCCTTGGGGGAATTTGGATTTGAATTATTCTTCATTAATTCACTTCAGACACTTACCTATATTGAAAATAAATCTATCCTGAGCTCTCATTACACAAAAACTTCTCAAATAAGCATAACTTTGCTGTTTATGACACACTACCTACGGAACTACTTAAGTATTCAGTAATATCATCCTCACTGATGAAACCTCACAACCTCCAGTGATGAAAACACTGGACAGCTCACTCAGTCAGGCCTGCAGAAAATCCATGGAACTGAAGGCAGCAGGCTCTTAGGTCCTGATACAGGACTGCTTTCCAAGCCCAGCAGAACTGCCAGAAGAACGCCTCTCCCTTTGGAGGGTTCTAGGTGAGAATTTGGTGCCACTTTACACTGCCTAACTCCTAGTGGTAGGAGAACTCTAGCACTGCCTAAGGGCATATATTCTGCTTCTCAAGAATACTTAGAACATAAATTAAACAACAAAACAAAACCAAATGCACAACTTACAAGCTCATCACTGCCCTTGTTTACTTCTTTACCTGCAACAGAGGTATAAAACTTGGTGAATAGTTAGACTCAACTTCTTTTAAGCAATTGAAAAATACATTTTTGCACTGCAATTTCTCTTCCAAGAGCAAGATAAATTACTGTGAAACAGTCTGGACCTGCATATGATACACTGAAATAGAAAACATTCAAATCCAGCTCTTTCTGAACCAGAATTCCTGGCTATGAACACCAGGTATCAATGGGATGGGACAATTACTTGTCTTAAAGAAGTCAAAGGCATCTTCAGAAGAGAAGGGCCTGAAGAACAGTTAGCATCTCACTGTGCTTTGGGCACCAGATGGAAGATGCAAGGACATCTGGAACACAGCCTCTAGAGAATACTGTCCAGCTGTAGGATGTATGGGATTCACACATATTTCCCTGAAGAAAAATCCCCACCAAGAGAAATTTGAGACTTAAGTCTGAAAGTAACAGTGCCTTACACTGTTCCTAATTTCAGAATACCAATGCTGTATAACTATCTGGATAAGGCAATTAAATACTGCAGCAGGTGTGCAGGGAAATGAGCGAACTCTCCATGGTTAGAAGTCTTTACATCCAAACATGGGATGTTTGATAGGAAATGCAAATAGGTGAGACTAAGAAATTACTAGTTGGCCATCTTACAAACATCCCATGATCTGCTAGGCAGTCATGAAAGAAAAACAGTAAGTTTTTCCAGAGCCTGATAATCACAACAGGAAACAGTATGAATACTCAGTTTTCACAACAGGGGAGTTTAAATGTAGAGTCCCACAGAGGCCTTAGCTGTGGCTTGAGGTTGTTCAGAGAATTCATAGAAAACTTGGAAAATGAGACACTATTGAGGTGAAAATGTTTGCTTATTATATAAAAGACATTATTACCATGATTACTGGTTTGTTGTTGTGGTTTTTTTTTTTTTTTTTTTACAAAAGTCAATTATTTCAACAAAGAGTGTGATGTTCTATGTCAACAAATGTCGCCATGCACAAGGAAGAAAAACATGTGTCCCATATACATGGATGTGCTGGCTCCAGCCCACTGAGTGACATTAAAAAATGAAGGTTGGGAGCCACTGGGCATAGCTTCATGAAAATACCAGCTAAAGAGTCACTGGTGGTTGGAATTTTAGAAAATTTTAGAAAAGCAGTATGAGACAGTAAGGAACACCCTGTTAAGCACTATTTCAAATTTACGGTACAGGCATCCCACATGCAGTTTTGCTCTCTCTTATTCAGATACAGTAGGCAAAGGAAAAGAGAAAAGCAAGACATAGATCATAGATGTTTACAGAAATTACCCAAACATAATCACAGTGACTTACCACAAGATATGTTTCGCTGAAATGAGATCAATTCTAGATACAACGTACAAATGTAGGGATAAGGCACAAGATGGACATTCTCATGTTTGAATTTCATCTTTGATACTTGCTCCCATTTACTCAAATCTGAGAAGAATGGTAAGACTTGAAAACATACACTAACATTTCAAAGGAGCACGAGTCCTAACAATATCTTCTAAAGCTTCAAAAGTCACAGCACACTGCACTGTGTGCATGTGCACACGGGAGCAAAAACAACCTGTTACCATGAACTTGTGAAACTGCACCAGGAAACACTTATCCAGGTTTATTTATCCACACTGCCCCATCAGTCACCCCTATTAATAGTGGTCTGTTCCCTTAACTGTGCTTGCCTTCAGTACTGACACCCTCCTGCAAAAAAACATGCCAGGCTCTTCCAAACCTATAAATAAAAAAACCCTTCAACAGTCTTCCTAATTAAAAAGGAATTATTTTAAAATTTTATTTAAAAATTAAAAAGGATTTTGATTCATAGAAGCAGCATCATTGAATTTACAGTTAAAAATGGGGGGGGGGAAAAGATAATTGACATAGCAACCACCACGGTTACAGCCATTCCTTCATGTGAGTGCAGTCCTGACATCCAGGAGCTTCTGCCTGGAATGTCTAATGGTGCTGGACATAAGTCTCCTCACACACCTCTGATTTCAGAGAGAAACAGGTAAAATGAATACTGTTAGTCCTCATTTGCTAGCAGAAACAAACATCTCAGGGACAGAAGATGATGAAGCATTGATATGATCAGTTCCTTTAAGGACTGAAATTCCCTGATTTTTCTTGAGGGACTCATCATTGGTGATTAACAAAGACACTCTATAACTCTACAGGGAGGAGCCCAACACACCAACTGTAAGACAACTCCTCATGCCAGGCCTGTGAGCTCACAGTTCTCTTCCAGGCCCAGTGCTGGCTGAGCACGTGGATGGACTTATAAGTTCTAGAAATACAAGTCTGTAAACCAAACACTCTTCAACACACAGACAGAACTGGTTGAGCTTTAGAGCAAACTAATAATGTTGGTTGGATTGGGTGTCTCTGTATAACGATGCTCTTGGCTACCTTATCTTCTTGACTCCAACATGAGTAAGTTGCTGTCGTATGTACCTGCTTCAGAGAGAGAAAGAGGATGGCCTCGTTCCTCCCTGCTATTAAGAGGCATAATGCAGTCTTCTAAGACAGGAGGGGAACACCTCAGAGGTATTAATTACTCCTGCGTACTCAGAATCACAGGAAGTGATGCCAGAGCTGATCCAAAAACTGACACACATTTAGGACCAGAAAACGCTAACATTTAACTAAATTACTTTTCAATAAAAGCCTCAGGAGAGTAACTTCTCAACCCAATACACACAGCAACTGCAACAGAAATATTAACAGTTACCATCTCTTTTATCAAGTTATTGCTGCTTTAAATTAAAAATCTGCAAAATAGGTAGCAGACAGGTCTAAATTCTTGTGCAATTCCAGCTGCACAAACTAGAAGAAAAAAAATGGAAGGCCACTTATGCATCCTGATGATAAAACACCTAGAAAGAGGAGGAGCCTGTAGTACAGCTGCTAGCTAGAATAAGCCAATCTCAAATGCCTCAGCACTTCTGTATCAAAAGTGAAATCCCAGGAAACAACACTCCTCAAAACTTGTGCTTCTCTATGACTATGCTATGCAATTGCACACAGCATTTACAGCACTGTCTGTGGACAGCAGGCCAGACTGACAGCAGCTCAATGCCTCTGCAAACTTTAGGGAAGACAGAAAAGATCTGCTGACTGGTCCCAGAGGAGTGAGAGGCATGAGTGCATTAAGGTGACTATGGCGCCAATGACATTTGCTTCACAATTGTTTCTAGGCTTCAAGGACTGAAGAGGGGACCAGGATAACTGGATGACAATCCTGCAGGCTTTGTGTGTTTGAAAGCCTGTCTTGACTTCCAATTATCTTAGCTCAACTACTGCTTCTTGTAAAGCTCACTTTGTGAAGTACTTTTTGCTTCTCTCAGCCGCCTCTGTGGAGACATGAGTACAGACTCACACTTGCTCCCACCCTCCATCACCAAAGGCTCATGGTGATTTAACCTTGAGGGATCGAACAAGAACAGCACTGTGAGCTTCCCTGCCCATAACCCAGCATTACTGGGCCTGTAAGGAGTGTTTTATGTTCCATGAACCTTTGGGAACAATGCACCAGCTGTGCTTCCAAGCGCATGAGGTGGGCTTCCTGGCACTTTATGTACACCTTTGTTTGCTCTGGCTAAACCTAATCTGGAACCCAGGGCTGTTTGGATGAAAACACTGCAAAACACTCTCATCACACCAGTTCTCTGGTGAAGGCAACACCTGAGGTGTTCACAATACCTTCAGCCAATGTCAAACTGCAAAGATTGAAGTAGTTCTACTCCAGCTAAAGATCTGCACACTCCTACACATAAATGTTAACTTACGCTACGCCCAAAAGATACAAGTCATTGAATCTTTTCTTTTATGAGTAGGAAAGAAAGGATACATGGAAAGACGGTGAAGTGGTCTGTAGAAAATGGATGTAAATCATCAAGATTTCCAAGGATTACGCGAATCACTTCCTGGAGAGGCCAAAAAATAAACAAAGAAAAAATATTAAAAACATAGTCACAATTCCACTGTCAAGTACACTTTCAAGACTTGGGGGAAAATGAACATTACTTTACAGTTTGCATAAGTCATGGAAGACCAGGTTCTACATATTCTGCTTTTCCTCCTCCCCTTCTCCCCACTCCCTCCCACCATTTTAGAGTGCACTGCACTGACAGACTCATAGAAATTTAGGTGAATGAGTACCTTAATCTTGAATTAACATAGAAGAATTACTATGGAAAATGGGGGTGTGCTTTTAATTAAGAAGTTTTAAATTTAAGGAGTGTAATTTAATTTTTCCAGCAAAACACACACAGCATTTACCTACTCCTCTTTCCCTGAATATTGATCCAAATCAGTTATAAGCCAACTGCAGTTAAGCCTCAACAAACTCCTCCTCTACAAACACAAAACTTTTTCTAGTAATACCTTTCAATATTTTCAAAAGTAAAAAAAAAAAATTGTAGTTCTTCATATCAATTAAAATCAGCATATTTTCTTCAGTAAGGTTTTCAAGGCTATTACTGCCTATTACTACTAATTTTTTAGAAATTAAGTAATAGGAAGGAGCATTTTTAAGCAGGCAGTATATTTATTTCAATTTCTTAGTAATGGCAGGGGCCTTCTTCTGGAAGAAGAAAACAACACAACTCATCCATTGTGACAATCAGTTTGTGCTTGGACACAAAGCAATGGCATCATTAAAAGAACACTCATTGGTTCCACAGTTGCAAGGAGAGCATGTGCAATTTAGCATTAGATTAGCCTCCATCAAGCCAGCTCACCAGTACTGCCACAGCTCCTGCAAAACCAAGAGGGATTAACAGCTAAGTCAAGCCTGACAACTTGAAAGTGGTGGTCAGTTTCGAGACCGAAATCCTGGGAAAGAGCTCTTGCTAGATTGACTCTGAAGTGGAATCGGACAGGAACTGAGTGTGACTAGCTCAACAAACAGGAGTTTCCATTTGTCCAATTTTAACAGTCAGTAGCTTCTTTGGAATATTTCAAACAAAAGCATGACTCTTCTACACTAAATTCTGCCTGTTGAGGAACACTTTTCATTTGTGTCTTTTTTTTTTTACACTCAGACGCTCCATGGAAGTTCCCCATTACTCACACTTGAAATGCTACATTTGACAAAATGTTCTCAGTCCCATAACAAGCATATGGTTTGTTCAGCCTAACATCCATCTGAGGTCCTACGGACCTGCCTCAGCTCTTACCTCCGACTCCTTGGCAGCGCTTTCAGTAAGACCGAAATTGGGAGAGCTGTGAAACAAAGACAGAGTCGGAACCATTCCAGTCAAGACGCAATGAAGATACATTTTAAGTAAGAGTTTAAACAGCAACAAAACATAATTCCCACTGAACAGGAAAAAATACTTAGCGGGCAGATTAATTCCTAATCTATTACTCTTAAAAACATCCCTTATTCACAAGGATTGTTCTGGGTGAACTTTCTATCCACTTGTGTTTCGTGTTCTAAGGTCTTGTATTAACTCACTGCCACATGCAGCCAACAAACAGCAGGCTGACTTCTTGGCTTTAACACACATACCTGTTGAAGTTGCCATACCGGATTTTAAATTTGTACACATGCTTGCCAGCATGTAGAAATCTTGTTTCAGGCAATGGATAGGTGAATGGTTTCAACGACATCTCTCTCTCTCCCTGAACGCCAGACTAGGAAAGCAGGAGAGTAAAAGGTTAATTCCTAAAACCCCTCACCACATCTCCTTCTGTCGTATGAAAAGATTAGATGCAGTTTTTCTTCCAGGGGACATTTGCAGAGAGAACTCTTCTACCAGTCAGCGAGCGGCTGATCTGAGTCTCCCGTGTCAACAGCGCCGTGTTTTTGAGCAAGATCCGAGGACAGACCAGGAGCAGACGGCCAGCTCGTCTTCAGCTGCGCTGCCCTGCAGCTGTCTGTGCCGAGGTCCCCGAAGCTTTACGGGCCTCGTGCCACGCGGATGGCAAACCTCCTCACCCCCACCTCCTCACCAGGCTCCTCCGCAGAGGCCGTGGGGCCCGCGACCCGCACCGGATGCGAAGTAAGCCCCGGCTGCCGCGGATCCCAGCCACCCCCTAGAGTCCGGCCCGCAAGAACTCATTGTTCCCCACTCCCACCGCACGTCCCCGGTGCCCCCCGGCCGCCGCCGCAGCCACCAGCGGCGAGCAGTGCTCGGCTGCCCCGGGGTGGGGAGCAGAGCGCAGGCCAGAACACGAGACGCCGCCTTTCCAGAGTCGGGGGCGGCCTGAGAGGCCTCCGGACAGCTCCGGCGCCTACCGGGCACCCCCCGCTCCACGTCCACCGGTGCCACAGTGCCCACCAAGCCCTCGCCTCCGGCGGGGCCCAGCCGAGGCTGCGGACTGAGCAGTGCCGAGCACAGCCGAACCGAGCCGAATGGAGCCGAACCAACGAGAGCCTAGCCGAACCCAGCGGAGCACAACCGAACAAAGCCGAATGGAGACGAACCAAGAGCAGCCCAGCCGAGCCTAGCCGAACCCAGCCTAATCCCGCCGAGCCCAGTTGAGCGCAGCTGCAGGTAGGGAGGCGGGACACGGCCGAGAGCGGGTCCGCAGTTCTGCAGCCTCTTTCCTCTGGGGGTAGCGGGGCCGGACGTGCTGGTGGGGGTGCTGGAGTTGGCCGGGGCTGGGCTGCTGGGGTGGCATCTCAGATGAGGCAGAGGCACCAGGAGGCTCCAGGAGGCACTAGACCTGCCGCGAGAGGGGCTAGGGGTCGATCCTTAGCCACTACATCACTTCTTTCTTTTCCTTTTCTGACTCACACAGGGTCCCTGCTCCACTTCTGCTGCTTCCTGTTGTCCTCCCTTTATATAGCTGGAACATTTTATATACTGCATCTCTTTAAGAAAGACTGTAATTGAAAGATCTTTTCTTTTCCCACAGTGTTAATATCCAGGGACTGATACAGCATCTCTCACCGTCCAGTCAAGGTGAAGTCCAGTTCCTACAAGCAGCGGCATGATTTACCTCAGCATTGGTAAAGACATGATGTAAAGAATAATTTCAGCAGCTGCAGAACATTTTTGAATTGCCTTTCACTGTCTTTTGGTTTAAAAAAAAGCAAAATAAGCTTAGGGAGTCAGGAAGTAAATTGAAGCATTGATTTCATGCACAAGCAGAAACTGGTAACTACCAATGTTGAAGCAAGCAGATAACGCAGTGGAAAACACAACTTCACTAACAACTCTAACCTTCCCTAAAGACCCTGAGCCTGCCATTCTGGGTGCATCTCAGCAAGAAGGGCTATGTCCTGTTTGAGCTGCTCTTCAATAGCAAATGGGAGGCTCTAAATTGGCTTTACAGTAGAACAGCACCCTCAGGAATCCCTCCAAGAAATTCTTGGGGCACACCAAGGGAGTCCCCAACACTAATGATCCTGCAGCTAGGCAGAGTCCCATCTTGCCACAGTGTCACAAACTGATGCCTGAAAACTAGGCAAGAAAACAGTCCATAGTATAGGGCCTACAGAGCAGGTATTTGTTTAATCAACACCAGCAGTGAGAGGCATAACTCCACTAAAAACTCACTTGTCCATTCTTTGCACAGTACTACATTTTATACTTTTTTACATAATGTGTATATGATACTTTTCTAACCTTCATATTGCAATGTATTTACTAATGACATGATTATGTAAGCCCTTGTAGCCATGCACGGTTTCTGCATGAGGTGATCATCAGGCTCCTGGTGGTCGCTTTGGATGAAAGCTTGTAAGTCTTCCTGGGGTTTGAATTCTTCACCTCTGTTTTCTGTGCAAGCTCTATAAGATTGTCTGCTCAAAGAGCCACTGGTTAGCTTTTGCAGTTAGCTTGTGCTGCTAAATTTGCTGATTTTAAGAAGTGTTTCATTCACATACCCTGTCCCAAAGTAACTACACTTTCTGCATAGCTACAGCCTTTGCATAGCTCAAGCATTATCTTGTCACCTAGCCATCAGCATGAGGAACTCACGGTCCATTGTGACACAGCACAGCCTCATGGAACTCAGCAGAACACTGTGACAATCTGAAATCTCATGGATCCAAGCATCTACTTGGACAAATTAGGGGCTCATGTGACACAGGTGCCACTGGGACATTGCCAGCTCTTTAGAATCCAATGTCCATTGTGACACAGTGCAGCCGGATGGAAACATGGGGACCATTGGAATGGAATCTCATGGAACCAAGTGTCAGTTGTGAACACAGCCTAATGGAATCCAGGGGCAACTAGGACCTAGCCATGGCCCGTGGAAGCAAGGGGCCATTGTGACACAGCCGGACCTCTTGGAACCTAGGAGAACATTGAGGGACAATGGAATCCCATGGAACAAAGTGTCAGTTGCCAAAAGAGAAGGGCTTCATGGAACCTAAATGACCATTGTGACTCCGTGGCACTGCTCATGGAAGCAAGTGCCCATTATGGCACAGTCAGGTCTAACAGAACGCAAGATTCCATTGTGATGCAATGGAATCTCAAGACACCAAGGCTCTGTTGTGACACAGCGGGGCCTCATGGAAGTCAGGTGCCAATAGGACTTGAAAGGTTTAAAAGCATTGTGCCTAGGCACACTTGGGCAAGAATAAGATACATTGTAGCCAATATAGAACCTGTCAAATACTAGTCACAAGCTAGAGACACAGGATGAAACTTCGCAAGAAATAGGGAACAAAACTTGCTAAAACCAGTGAGAAAATTGCTGAAACAGCTAACAAGAGACTGCACATGCCTAGAGGAGAAAGGTGAAATGGGCATGGTGATGAAGACATCCAGCCTTCATCAGCGGAGCGCTAAGAGCCTTCCTCAGTGAGACGAGGGTGCACCGCACCTGTGTTTTGCATATGCTAATGATAATGATGAGTTCTAAGACATAGTTTGCATAACCACAACTTTTCTAAGGAAAGCAATAAATATGCATGAAGTATAAACATGTATTGTGATCTGCTGTGTATCTTGGGTGTGTGCTGCTAGGAGGAATGATCCCTGTGCATGCAGCGTGCTGAATAAAGCAAATGCCCGTTTCTTGGACTTTGTCTCAGAAGTATCTCTTGGCTTTGTTTGGGGCGATTTGACATTTCAAAGGCTTGTGCAAGCAAGTGTCCATTGTGAAACAGCTGGGCCTAATGGAACACAATAGAACATTGTTACACAATGGAATCTCATGGAAGCAAGTGTCAGCACTTTTATAGTGGGGCCTCATGGAACCCAGGCAGTGTAATGCAAGGAATCTTGGGAAAAAAGTTTCAATTTTGAACAGCACAGGTCCTTGTGGAACACAGGTGCCACTTGGATAATGCCAGGGCACATGGAACTCAGTGTCCATTGTGACACAATGGAACCTCATGGATCCAAGGCTCTACAGTGACCAAGGTGCCTTGGGACATTGCCAGGCCTAGGAGAAACAAGGCTCCATTATTGCGCAGCAAGGCCTCATGGCACCTGGGAGGCCACTGTGTCGCAATGGAATCTGATTGAAGCAAGTGTTCATTGTGACACAGGAGGGCATCATGGCACCCAGGAGACCACTGTGACACAATGTGAGCTCTGGGAATCAAGAGTCAACTGCAAACACAACAGGGCCTCCTTGAAGCCAGGTGTTGTTTGGATATTGGCAGGGCAGGTGGAACTTGGTGTCCATTGTGACATAGCACAGGCTCATGAACAACAGGAGAGCACAGTGACACCATGGGATTGTGGCAAACCAAGCATCAATTATAAAGATATCAGGCTCTCATGAAACTAAAGAGAATTTCGTGATGCAGTAGAGTGTCATAGATCCAAGGCTCTACTGTGGGCAAGGTGGGCCTCGTTAGACACAGGTAACTCTGGGACCTTGCCAGGTTTAGTAGAAGCAAGGCTCCATTATTGCACACCAAGGCCTTATGGCACCTGGGAGGCCGCTGTGTCACAAAGCAATCTGATGGAAGCAAGAGTTCATTGTGACACAGGCAGGCCTCATGGTATCCAGGAGACCCCTGTCGTGCATTGCAATCTCTGGGAACCAAGTGTCAACTGCAAACACAATGGGGCCTCCTTGAAGCCAGGTGCTACTGGGATATTGCCAGGGCAGGCAGAACTCAACGTCTATTGTGACTCCAGTGTCCATTGTGACACAGCATTGCCTTGCAGAAACATGGGGTCCATTGTGACACAATGGAATCTCATGGAACTGTCAGTTGTGAACTCAGCATGGCCTCATGGAACCCAGGGGCAACTGGGACCGTGCCATGGCTCGTGGAAGCAAGGGGCCATTTGTCACCATATTTTTATGAAAAATCCCTTTGCCAGGATTTTTTCTCCTGAGAAGCTGGGGAGCTTCAGCTTCTCCCTGTTTTGCTACTTTGGAATGTCATTTGGAGAATTCTTTATCCCAGCATGTGAATTGTTTTTACTTAATGACCAATCCCAGTCCAGCTGTGTCAGGACTCTGGTCTGTCACGAGTTTTTATTATGTATTCCTTTCTAGCCTTCTGAGGTATTCCTTTCTCTCTATAGTTTAGTATAGCTTTAGTATAGCATTTTTATCAGCCTTCTAAGAAATATGGGGTCAGATTCATCTCTCCCCTCACCCTGGGACCTGCAAACACATTGACAGCCGTTGTGAAACAGCGTGGCCTCATGGAACCCAGGAGAACATTGCAGAGCTATGGAATC